TTTACTTCAGCCAACACTACTGTAATACGTATTAGTCCTGTCTCTTATACACATCTAGATGTGTATAAGAGACAGGTGTTAGCTCTCAGTCTCATTGATTTGGCTACCTTAGGGCTGCGTTCCCCGCCGTAGACAATTTTATTTTTCTGTGGCAAATACGTAGTGACGATCACTACGGCTGCTGGGCCGGGGGGCAGCATGAATACCTGTAAGTACCTGTAAGTTTGTGAGGGTCTATGCTTGCAGGGGTCCCCTCTATATAGCCTTAGGGCCTAGCCACACCACTCTCGAAATGTGAAAAAGACAAAAATGTGGCGGGTGCATCTGGACATGTTCTAGCGGGGAGTTCGTTATTTTTTTTTTGCACATTTGGAGAGTGGTGTGGCGATGCCCTTAGGAGTAGTGGTAGGTAGGTAGTGAAAGGCAAACAAAGAATTCGAGAGAAGTATATAGGGCCTCGCTGCACTACTCTCGAAATGTGCAAAAACAGGCCAGAGCAGCCATCCTGAAAGGTCTGAGAAAGGAATGATCGGGTATTCAATGACAGAGAGCGGTCTAACAAACAGGCCAGAGCGGCCATCCTAAAAGGTCTGAGACAGGCTATTCAGGCGGACTGGCGTCGGAAGGTCCAGAATATTGATGGAAAGCTGCTCTGTTGGTTTAAGGGAATCTGGTGCATAAGGGGCACCTGGGCGAAGATCTCTGAAGAAAGGAAACTGGTCTTGGAGAATTGGTTGTGGACGGATAGGGTCTCAACCTAAGTGGAAGGTATTAGGAACTGTTTTGTGGGCGTTGTGCAGTGAAAGAACCTGGGGGCTCGGTTCGTTTTTTTCGCAGGAGGAAGGCAGAGGGATAGATTGGGGGGGGAGTGCCAATGTTCTCTGTTGCTATCGGTTTAGATAGCTTTTTTGGTTCTTCTCCTTTATGGGAGCATGTTAGTTAGGACAGGTTAATGTAGTAGCTATTGGGAGTCGTAGGGATAGTTGATTGCTCCGTGGTTAGTTTAGGTTCTGTGAGTTGTCTTTTGGTACCGTGCTTTTAGGTTTGTGTGTTTTTTTCAGGTCTGAGACATCCTTTTTTTCTTTACAAGGGACTAGAACTTCAGGACAGCGGTCGGGTTTTGGCCAATTCTGTTCCTAGAACAGGTTCTAAGTCCCCGTTGTTGTGTAGAGGTACCAAGGTTTAATTTCTTCAGTTTCTGTTTGAATTGGCGAGCCGGTGCTCGTAAGCTAAACTGGCTGATGCTGCCAGGATAACTCCGGTTTGAATTGTGGGGTCCCCGGCCTCAATATTTTCAGTTCTTTTAATGAAGGGTTCTTTTTCGGGGGGGAGAAAAAAAAGTGCAAAAAAAAAAAAAAAAAAAAAAAA